TTTTTTTTTTTTTTTTTTTTTTAAATGTTACTACTTATACGTTCAGAGAACATTCAAAAGTAACATTACCATAGTGTTTACAAAACAATAAAATGGAACATTATTGTCTTTAATATTGTCTCTAACGTTCACATAACCAGGAAAAACGTTTTTTAAACATTTGCATTTTTTTACGTTTTGAACATTCAGAGAATACTCAAATAACATTTTCATAACTTTTTGGGAACGTTACCAAAACGTTCTTAGAACATATTTTAGTTAGCGGGGATATTTATGGATGTGTCCTAGCTAACAGGGAACGTTTTCAGATTTTTGGCTAATGTTCTGACAAGGTTCTCTCAGAGTTAGAAACAAACGTTATTCCAGTTACATTAACAGAATGTTTGTTCAAAGTTATCTGGTCTTTAATAATGCTCTCAAAACGTGAGCATAAAAATATTATTATACATCATTCATGGAACGGTTTTTTTTTCCCCCCTAAAAGTTTTAGTTGGATGTTTGTCTGGCATTTTTTAAATGTTAGGCCTACTACTTGTTTCAGAATGTTCAGAGAACATTCAAAAGTAAATCTCCCATAATCTTTGCAAAATGATCAAATTGAACATTCCCTTAACGTTCACATAATTAAGAAAACGTTTTTTTTTTTTAATATAAAAGGACGTTTTGAACATTCAGAGAATATTTAGAAATATTGATTTCATAACTTAATGGGAACGTTATAAAAATGCTCCTGAAACATATTTTTGTTAGCTACAATAGAAATGCTACACTTACCAATGAGTTAAAATGTTCAATGGGACTACAATGATTTTTGGATTTTTGTACCCTGCTAGTAAATACCATGGTAAATAAATTTCAGGACCGTAATTTTTCATTTGATGTCATTACCATAGAAATGCTAGAGTACTGCTTATACAATCACACACACACACACACACACACACACGTTGGGATATGTGGTTTACTGGCACTCTCCATAGGCGTAATGGTTTTTATACTGTACAAACTGTATATTCTACACCTAAACCTACCCCTCACAGAAAACTTTCTGCATTTTTAGATTTTCAAAAAAAACACCATTTAGTATTTTTTTAGCCTTTTGCATTACAGGGACACATGACTCATAAAACACCTTCACATTGTAATACCTATGTCATACCCATGTCATTACACAAATTTGTGTCCTCATAAACCACATGCGCGCACACACACACACACACACACACACACACAGTGATTGGTTAATTGTGTTCACGTGTGCGAGTGCTGACTGCATTAGGTTAGACTGGAGCTTGTGCAAGTTATTGTCTTGCTTAATAGATTGAGTTGCACGGGTCAAAATTACAGTGGATTTCTGCATCACATGCCAAAACAGAAACAAGCTACACAAGCATGTTCACCATAATGAGCATAAAAATACTCACATCTCAAACCTGATAAACCAAAATGGACCAGTATTTTGCACTGATACCATTTTTTCCACTTCAATTAGTACATAAAAGTATCATAGTATTACCACTGTATACATGGTACTGCTATACAGTATGGCAGTTATTTTAAGGGGCAGTTATTTTCTTTGTTTAGACACCTAACTAATAACTCTATAGACCTCAAACTCCCTCCTGTTCACAGTTTATATCTGTTTGAAGGCCAATCATAGTGCTGTACTGAATGCATATTGGCAGCATGTGGAGTTCAAATCCAGAGCACGAGTGTGTAACGACTTTAATTTGATCAAGCTTCAAGGAACGACTGTAAGCGACCACGTGTGTCACGCTTACAGGAACGTTTCTTTTCAATTCAGACTGTCATAAGAGATGGTCATGGGACACGCCATTGATCTGCATTTGCCTAGTGATGTTAGATGAAATATCACACGGTTTCTGCAATTAATATTCAAAAATGTTGCTAAATGACCAATATCGAGAGACAATAACAATGATAATGACAGGAAACTTTCTGTGCTAAAGAATAAAGATCTCAGCAGGACGAGATCACATCACTTATTTACTTACATGGGACACACACTTTCGTAAGAACGTTTTCAAATGTGTAAGATATCCAATTAATCGCACTTCCTTTAAACAAGTAAAATAAATAAATAAAAGATGTTGGGAATTTTAAATTTGCTTATACAAATTATGGTGAAACTGAGAATTTTTTATGTAAATAAAATCTAAATGAGATCTTAAATCCTAACATCCCAAAAGAAGTGCATAATTTTAAAATCAATAATTTGGTATGTTTCACACTTGGCAGTAGGTCGCACAGTTTCAAATGTATCACCAACCAACCAACCAAAAAAAAAAAAAAGTTTGTAGGTGCATGAAAACTCACATATATTGATCTGTTTTTGACCTGCTTTAGATTTTTCTGGCATTAAAGAACGGACTTTGGTAGCAGTGAAGCCCGATGGTGTTCAGAGACGGCTGATTGGTGAGGTCATCAAGCGCTTTGAGCAGCGAGGATTCCGATTGGTGGGTCTGAAGATGCTGCCGGTGAGTGATTCACTCAGATATCATTCATGACTGTATGTGACGTGTTTCTACATAATGTGCATGCACTGTATTTTTCAGGCTTCTGACAAGCTTTTAGCTCAGCATTACGTCTCGCTGCAGAGGAAACCCTTTTACTCCAGCCTGCTTTACTACATGACCTCTGGCCCCATAGTTGCCATGGTGAGGGCCAATCAAACAGCTATGCTTTACGTTACGCCACATGTTATGAACATCATACTACTATAATACTTATACTGTTTCTGCAGAATGCAAATTATCCACAAGAGTGCAAAACCCAGATAACACTGCATTTGACAGAGTAGAATTAAGTATCCCACAATGCAGTGCAGTTCAATTTACATTGATAAATAAACATCCAAAAATAATTTCTACTCAAATATTGGATTAGAAATGCAAAATGTTTTTAAACGTGCAATAAAATAAAGAAAAAGGTTGCATATTACTGTGTGAAATGTGTAGCATTGCGTACTATGAGATTTTTACACGTCACATACTGTCATGAAGACTGACGAGTTGAAATTCACATTCCTCATTGGTTTGCTTTCAGGTGTGGGAGGGGCATAATGTAGTGAGGTCATCACGTATGCTGGTGGGAAGCACAGACCCTGCTGAAGCCGCACCGGGAACTATTAGAGGAGATTTCAGTGTTCACATCAGCAGGTATTTACATACACTCATTATTCTGAGTGCAATATTAGTGTACTGCATACTGCACACTATATAGTGCACACTATTATTCCAAACACAGCCACACACACAGTCAAACACAATATCAGCCTCTCAGTTTGAAGGTGCATATAAATTAAGCAATAAACCTTTGGCATGTATATGAGTCGCATGGATGAAATGACTTTCATCACTGTTAAATTCATTCAGAAATGTCGTCCATGCGTCTGATTCTGTGGAGGGAGCAGAGCGGGAGATTTCACTGTGGTTTCATCGCTCAGAGCTCATCGACTGGGAGGGATGCGATCATAAAAACATTTACCACATATGAGTTTCGGTTTATGATGTCTATATGTGTTAAATTAACTCTGATCACTCTCAGCGGGGTTGATTTCAGCTCAATTTCCTTAATAGCAGATAAAATGCTGATTACTGTTTATCCAGTTTTGGACTGCAAATGATATGTTATTATTTTAAAATAATCAAATGTAAATAGATTGAAATGTTATATTTTATATTATAAATATTTAAAAAGAAATTTAAAAACTTTTGGAGAAAATACATATACAAAAGTTGGCCTTGAATATTTTCAAATAGACTTTTAATTTTGCTTTGACGCACAAGTCTTAACAGTTCCTAATTGTTTTTAAAAAGCTATTTTTGTTCTATTTTAACTGAACCTAAGCATTGATCACATACAGTACATGCACAGTGCTGATCAATATAACAAACCTCTGTAAACAATGTGCTTTAATGCCTTTTTTTTTCAATAAAAAAAAAACAAAAAAAAATTGCATTTTAGCAGATGCTTGTCATCCAAACCCAGCCCCTTCACTCAGGGGAAAATGCATTAAAAGTGCATTAAATAATTATTTATAAACGGTTAATTTAATGTGACAAAGGTACATCAAACAAATACTTGCTGTAACAAAAAAAAAAACGGTTTGTTGTGTGAATATATTTACTTCATATCATATCACAGTATGGTGCACAACTTTTGATGTTTTAGCTTGTTTTAAAGGAATATCTCACCCAAAAATGAACATTTGCTGAAAATGTACCCTCAGGCCATCCAGGATGTAGATGAGTTTGTTTCTTCATCAGAACAGATTTGAAAAAATACTTGCATTTTAGCAGATGCTTGTCATCCAAACCCAGTCCCTTCACTCAGTGGAAAATGCATTAAAAGTGCATTAAATAATTATTTATAAACTGTTAATTTAATGTGACAAAGGTACATCAAATAAATACTTGCTGTAACAAAAAAAAAACGGTTTGTTGTGTGAATATATTTACTTCATATCATATCACAGTATGGTGCACAACTTTTGATGTTTTAGCTTGTTTTAAAGGAATATCTCACCCAAAAATGAACATTTGCTGAAAATGTACCCTCAGGCCATCCAGGATGTAGATGAGTTTGTTTCTTCATAAGAACAGATTTGGAGAAATGTAGCGTTCCATCACTTGCTCACCAAAGGATCCTCTGCAGTGAATGGGTGCCGTCAGAATGAGAGTCCAAACAGCTGATAAAAACATCACAATAATCCACAAGTAATCCACACCACTCCAGTCCATCAGTTAATGTCTTGTGAGCAAAAATCAGCATGTTTGTAAGAAACAAATACGTCATTAAGATGTTTTATGAGTCCATAATTCATAATAACACTTCCTCCAGTGGAAAAAGTCCATCTCCTGTTGTCTCTCACATCAAAAACATATTTGTTTAGAACTGTTTTGAACTATTTTTGCTTGTAAACCGTGCTTGATCTGTGCATATTTCTCTCCTGATTCAGACATTGTCTGAATTTTTAACTGATGGACTGGAGTGGTGTGGATTATTGTGATGTTTTTATCAGCTGTTTGGACTCTCATTCTGACGGCACCCATTCACTGCAGAGTATCCACTGGTGAGCAAGTGATGTAATGCTACATTTCTCCAAATCTGTTCTGATGAAGAAACAAACTCATCTACATCTTTGATGGCCTGAGGGTGAGCACATTTTCATTTTTGGGTGAACTATTCCTTTAATGCTTGTTTTAAATCATTTTAAGTCACCATGAGGGCCCCTGGCTGGAGGCTAAACTGGATTTGAAGATCAAAATAACCACACAGACTCATCGTTACAGTCAAGAACATCCTTTTATTCAATCAGTTAAAGGTGCTGCTCTTACTTGTTTTTCTTATTATGGAAAAGAAACTGTAATCAACACATGCATTTCACCATGAGCTCTGGAAGGCAGGTGGACTGAGAAGGGCGCCGCTCGAGGAGTTCAAACCAGGGCCGGAGCCGCCAAGGATTCATGCTACTCTAAACGCATCCGAATGCCCCGCTCAACAAAAGAGTACAAAAGTAAATACGAAAGAAAGAAAATGGATGGTCAGTACCAGGGAGGGACAACGAGAGCGCCAAACACATGTCCGTCGCTATGGCTTTCACTTACAGTTATTAATAAATCACAGCCAACGCGGACACCGGCTTCACGGACTCGGGAAAGTGAAACAATTGCATATTTTGTTTGTGGGAGGAAGCAAGTTTTCGTTAAGCCCACTATGTGGGCTTTTGCTGGTGAGTTATCAAGTTAATTTTAGTCTCGCTCAGGTTTTTGTGGCGTGCGTCACTTTGGTCTATGAGTTTGGCTCGTAACGCTGGGCTCGCGGTCGCTTTGAAACTGGGTCGCTTTCCCTGGGCTGAAACCACTCCATTTTTAAGGTGCTTCGTCTTGACAGGAACTTTTTTTATTTTTTATTATTATTTTCTGGTCACGTACAACCATTCAAAGGTGCATCATCAATACAGATTCTCAATGCAATATCAATACAAACAGATCATAGCAAATCAAATTAATTTGGTAACAAAGAAATAAATAGCTCAAAAACTCGACTATTCTACCCCAGCGGTCGGCCTCTATTGTTTTCACAAACCGCGTCCAGCTGAAACGCCCGTCTGTCGGACGGCCCACCAGAGCTCACCGGCGTAACTTGTTCACGTACATTAACTGTTCAATGGAGAAGCTGAAGAGATCGGTATGAATACAACGTGAAGCGTACAGACAAGAATAACATGTGAGCTAACTGCATTCTGCTCAGACAACATTTTTTTCTTACATTTTTTTTTTTTACAAAAACAAATATTTAGAGTCATTTACATGGGGGGCAGTAGAGGGCGCTGCAGGTTCAGAGGGGGAGGGGTTCAATTTCAACTCTCTTTCTGATCAGTCGCTGACTTTGTTTGGGAATTTGTTTGGGTGAATCTTATTACGAAAATGATCACATTTCATCCCAAAATCAAAAGAAAACAAATTGTATTTTTTTTGCATGGACCATTAGTATGTTTTTGTATTGTAACATTTATTTTTGACAAAATAATTTTTTTTCTTATGATTTCTGAATGAAATATACAGAGCCCCACAAATGACATGGAAAATTTTTTTTCCCACGAATTAAGAATTTGTTTCTGTGACTTAATAAGTTTCGTTGTTTTCGAAAATCGTAGCCATGTTGTACTAATTTGTTCCATCATTTTCGTAAATTGTGGTCATGTTGTAATAATTTGCTCCCTTGTTTTCGTAAATCATAGCCACGTTGTACAAATTTGTTCCATCATTTTCGTAAATCGTGGCTACATTGTACAAAATAGTTCCCTTGTTTTTTGTAAATTCCGGTTATGTTGTACAAATTCGTTCCTTTGTTTTCGTAAATCGTCGCCATGTTGTACTAACTTGTTTCCTCATTTTCATAAATTGTGGCCATGTTTTACTATTTTGCTTCCTTGTGTTCGTACATCGTGGCCAATTTGTACTAATGCCATGATTATAAAAACGAGGGAACAAATTAATAAGTTATGGATACAAATTCTTAATTCGTAGCCACAATTTGAATAAAGTGAGGGAATAAATTAATAAAACAAGGGAACAAATTCTTAATTTATGGCCACAATAAATATACTGTTGTCCTCATGTCATGTGCGGGGCTCTGTAGAAACATGACTGTGCATGTACATATCTTGAAAGTTTTTGTGAGATTCACAATTTTCAAAGTATAAAAGATAACAAATTCACATCACACCTCCCGTCACTCTTCTTACTCCAAAATTTTTAGCTTACAATGGGCATTTAATTTATTCGAGCTGCATTAAAGCCTCTCCCGTAAATAGGGAAGATCTTGTCATACCTTTCATTCGAATTCAAAATTTCTATGTGCAAAAAGCCAGCAAAGTTCAGATGGGAAGTTTGTTAAGGTTTCGAGGGCGATCCAAAGCATGGAAGTCCTAGAATACTGGAATGCATAGCATGAAGTCAAAAATACCAGAAAAATCCAGCGTTTTAGCTAGTTAAAAGTCGTAAAACCTCTTAGGACGTCATCAGTTGACTTCGGAGAAAAGGTTGGAGGAAAAATGCCTTTTGTCACAACCTTGACCACATTGAACACCCTCCCCCCCTTTAGAAAATACAAAAAGGAAAGAGTAATGAACGTTTTATCTTTCTTCTAAAATTTGTCTTGATAACACGTATTTTTCGTCTTTTTATGTATAATAGAGATCGAACGTACTTTGATCCATAAAAAGCACCTGTTTTATTTAGTGATATATTCTGACGTGTCGCAAAAAACTGCTTCTTCAGCCCTCCTAAGTTTTGAGAACAAATCATTACAAATAAACATTAAAAAAAGCAGAAAAAATTAAAGATTACAAAACGAATTCCCAAAACTTACAAAGACCATTTTCTCTCGCTCTTTCCGCCCTGTAGTTTAGAGTCCCGGACAGCGTGGACTTTACTATAATAGAAGGATTTTCACCTCTACGCTTTCCTGTACAGCCTAACAATGAGACAAACACAGTTTCTACCCAAGGCATTGCACATGGCTCAATCAACACACTTTATTTTGCAATAACAAATACTTCCTGTCCAAACACAAAAGAAATCAAAAGCCGTGCATTTTTTATTTTTTTACTATGCTATCGATAACTTTTTCCGCGGAAATCTGATTTCCACCGGTTGATTTTTTTTTGCTCTAATTACCATTAAGTGCAGAACTGGGTTTTCGGGACTGGTACTTCTGAACGGATATCTGATTTATGATCATGTCATACTTCAAAAAATAACTAGACTGCCACTGAGCTTATTAGGCAAATAAGAAAAAAATGTATATATAAATATATATGGATATATCCTGTATATATAAAGATGTTTGTAACTAGTGAGCTGACGCTTGTTTTTTTTTTTCTCATAAAAATTTCACGCTCCGCTATAGCTTATATGCAAGAAAATAACCTGAATTCATGTTTAACAAATTGCATAATGGGAATACAGAGGCACTTCCTTTGATTAGAAAAGAAAAGACCATTGCCATCACGATTCTCGTGTTAATTTTCTACCAAAGCGATGACACGGCCGCCATCCGGCAACAATGCTTCCCTGCAGTGAGATACATGGTCAGGCAGTCCAGTTATTTTGTGAGGTTACCGATTACAGTTGCGTCGAAAACAAAACTTTATCAGCGGATGAAGATCTCCCTACTCTAATTCACTGTAAAGGCTTCCCTTTGTAGTCAATCTGTGGAGGAGAGTGCGTGTATGTGCAGACAGCCATGCCGAAACGTTACCAAATTTAGAGTAAAATGCTACTGAAGTGAATGGTGAAACGCAGCTTCTAATAACAGCGGTCCGAGCGGCCCACCTCCCTCTGAGCACGGCTATGATATGTCGCATATTCTTTTGCTCCGCAGCGAGGTCACATGCTCTTGGAACACAGACTTCTGGGAGTGTAAACGGGTACGTAAACAAAACACAGAAGTGGGCGTGTCTCTAGGGCCGTCTTTATTAGTGCTAATGAATCAGGGACTTTTATTATGCCTCGCTACAATGACAAAATTAATTCAAAACAGCCATTATACATAACAGAACGACTAGCTGGGGCTGTAAAAAAATCACTAGAATATACTTTTTGCTACATAAAAAACGTTTCATACTTCTAATTAAAAGTTTTACTTTAGATTTTTTTAACAAACTATTTAAAACAAAGTTCAAACATATGGCTTTCATTTAAAAAAAAGGAAATGAGTTTGAAAAAAGAATGCAATGATTATCTGGGACTTTTTTTTTTTTAAACAAACGATTTAAAAATTGTAACTCAGTCACATGGCTACAAAGTTGCGGTCACATTTATCAAAATTTCATTTGGTTGGTTGGTTGGTTTGGGGGAGGGGGATCTAGTCATTTTAATATGATTCCACTTGAATGGGAATTTCACTATCAGCAGATTTCAAATCAGGTTCAAGATGGTCACATAATTCGCCAAGTTCACCAGCATATTTGGTGCTTTGTGCATTGCTACACTATTGACATTGGACCTTTTTTTGAAAAAAAAAACTATTTAAAACATATTTTAGACATATGGCTATAATTAAAAAAAGAATGGGAGTTTTAAATAAAAGATGCATTGCATTATCTGGGACTTTTTTTGTTGTTGTTGTGAAGTTGCAAAACTTCACAGGCAAAATCTCGTCATTTTAAAGAGATAATTCAACCAAAAATGAAAATGAGTTGACGGTAGCCATTGACTTCCATAGTATGGGAAAAATACTATGTAAGTCAATGGCTACCATCACATTTTGTTACGAGTTTGGTTACCCACATTTTTCAAAAGATCTTCTTTTGTGTTCAACAGAAGAAAGAAACTCGTACAGGTTTGGAACAACTTGAGGGTGAGTAAATGATGGCAGGATTTCATTTTTGGATGAACTATCCCTTTAATAAGAATCCATGCAATCAGGAATTTCACGTGAAATGAAAAAATTTAATTTTGCGTCAGGTTCAAGATGGTCACACAAACATTATTTTTTTTTTGCCCACAAAATTTCATCAACGTGACCGCACCTTAAGTGTGTACTGGTTGGCTTTATTCATCCTATAGAAGTACTTACTAAAATCTGGTGCTGTCTAGTTGGCACTAAGTGCCTGAAATGGACTTTTGTTTTAATAAAAAAATTCAGTTTGAGGCCTGAAAATGAGAACGGGTATCTGGGTAGCTTTAGTCTGCCAGTTAGTTTTTGTCCGCAATAAAATGTGCAAATAATGTCCGCCGTCGATTCCATTTTCAATAGTGCACATCGAACTAGTGTTCTTCGCATTACTGTAGTGCAATACTTCGTAGTTAGTTTAGTAATTGACCGCAAAAGGGAAAGAAAGACGTTTCTACTGCATGCTAATTAGCTAAAAATGCAAAACGTCCGGGGCTCTTATGATGTGAAATGACTTTTAGTGTCGCCTGTATGCTGAACATCAGCAAGTGTTTTGAAAACAAAAAAATTGAAGTTTAATTGGTCAAAATCTTGCGTTTTTGTTGTGTCTGAATCCTCACCACTGAAACTGTTGATAATCCCTGCCACTGTACACTACATCCTTGTTCCTAGTAAGATTTTCTGTCGGTGTTCATGGGGTTCTTCCTCCTCTATGTTGCCGTTGGTTTGGTGACGGTTCTTGCGAGATGCTGTAGGTGCGTGTCAGTCCCTCACCTCCTGCTGTGATCTGAAAGTCTTTATCGGAGGTGGAGGAGCGGGCTTGAAGGGCGTCTGACGGTTGGCAAACACAGGGTCGAACGTTTTCCAATCATATGCTGCTCACGTTTCTTAGGGCACGTTCCGGGTCGGAGGGGATTTTCAAACAGGATTTTTTTTTTTGTCATAAAACTTCCAAATTGTGTTGACAGGTTGCAGGCAGGACCTCGTCAAAGGAACCATGACTGTAAAAAAAATAAATAAATAAAACACAAAAGAATAAAGGCACTGTTAGTGTTAAATCTAAAAATACATCAGCTCAGTGAAAACATTATATTATTATAAAATAATCTGTGCAGGAAGAATTTGACTTATTTTTAATCCGATAAATACTATCAAGACCAATATCGATTTTTTTTTTAATTTCTGAGGATAAAAACTGACAATTATAGGCATTTTACATTATACGTCTGCTACTCATCACTGTATAATTGTATAAAATATTGTGTTTTAAAAGCCTTTTAATAGAAAAAGTTTTTAAATAAACTAAAATGATCAAATATCACTCATTAACAACAATTACAGAACAAACTTTTAATTAATACATAATTCAAATAAATGTCACAAACTTATTATAATTCGATCATTTGTTTATATTTTATAATACATTTAATAAAATATACATTTATTCATATATAAAGTTATTAAATGTATTAAATCACATGTATTATCATACAAACCTAGAACTGAATAATGTTTATAATTTGTATGCATTTAATAACATATAAATAAATAACCTTTACATTTATTAAACTGATTAAGTCAAATGAATTGTCACAAAATTGTCATAATGTGTTTATAATTCTTATACATTTAATAAAATATAAATACATTTTTAATTTATTAAGTGAAATGTATTTTCACATAAAGCTAATTTTAAAAATAGTTTTGTATACATTTAATAAAATATAAATAACTCCTAAATTTAAGTTATTAAATGTAATAAGTGAAATGTATTTTAATGTCACATAGACCTATATTTTTTAATTGAATAAACTATAAATAAATAAAAAATTAGTTATTACATTTATTAAACTAAATTACATGTATTTTATTGTCACATAAAGCTATTATAACTTAATTTATTTTTTTTACTTTTTTATAAATTGAATAAATACATTGTAAACTGAAGTTATTGAATTTATTAAAGTATTCCATTTTATTTGACATTTATAATTACATTTTATATTGTAACTTTATTATCTTAAAGTTAGTGTGCATGTTTCAGTATGTACTGATATTAGAAGCTTAAACATTTTCAATAGAATCAATATTTTTATGTTATAATCAATACTCTTGATGCATTCATTCAAAAGTATGGACACTTTAAGATGGATCTGGATCTGGATGTTGACTGTGAATGTGAAGAGATGCTGCTGTTAGTGATGTGAGCACTAGAGGTCAGGCTTGACTCTCACACGTCTGCCTGCTCTTCACTCTCAGAGCTGGTCAGTCTGACCTGCTTACCATATGAGCCTGACCTGAACTAAACCAGCAAACCTCTCTTCTGGGAATGTCATGTCAGCGAAGCTCTGACGCGTCTCTACATACCATCACACTGACTTTATCAACATCAGCAGACGCTCTGTTAATGCATCTCAGGAGTTCAGCTCATAAAGCTCAGATATCACACTGATAACGCAGATGGACAGAGAAATATTTACACAAACTTTATAGTGCGTTCACGTCATGCTGGAATTAAACCGTGTTTCCCAATAAAACACTTCATGGCTTTGTCAAACTGGTAGTTTTCAATAGGAAAATCATTTAACTTTTGTGACGTCATAAAAACAACTAAAACGGCAGCAGATTTAAATGAGTTAGATATCCATCTCTACACATTCCACTGTTTGTTATAAGTCAGTACAGCAGTCCAGCTCTGCTAAATAGCCTATAAAAATGCTATAAAGCACAAAGTAAGAGCAATACCGCAACGCAGACCTTAGTTCACATATCAGAGACTAAATCTTTTAGAGGAAGGATGGTCTTTTACTACTGTGCTTGATATTTTCATGGATGTTTACTTCTCTAAATATTTCGATTATAAAAATAAATAATGATGTAATAAGTATTAATAGTGATTTATAATAATATATTTAAAATAATATATGCACTTATAAATATCATAACATTTTATATAAAAATAATATCTGTAAAATAATGCATTCATATATTATATTTATTAAATTTTTAATATATATTGTGCCAACATGTTTTACATTATATAACCATGTAAATTGAAAATTATATAACACATATTATATAAAATGCATAATAATATATAAAATTATAAATATAATTGTATAATTTGAATTATAATTAATTTTATAATTAAATTATAATCTTATATATAAAATAATATCTATAATACATTGTTATATATATTTTTAAATTGAATTTTAATATAAATTGTGCCCAAACATTTAAAAGATAAATGAAATATTCAAAAATTATATTATTTGTGCAGTATATGTAATATGTATATAGTAATGTATATGTAGATGTATATAATAAATACATTCACAATTACTAGAATCATAATTACTTATATAATTTATATTATTTTACAATAATATCCCTAATATAATTCATTTATATATAAACTCATATTTATAATATATAATAAAAATATTTTATATTTATTTTATATTTACAATATATAAATATAAAATAACATCTACAATACACTTACATATATTTGATATCAATTCTATTTTTAATACAAATGTTAATATAATAAATGTTCTCCAATCCGCTCACATACCTTGCCTTGTGAGATAAGTGTACTTGCACAAGAGCTCTCGTTAGGCTATTTATTGAAACATATCACATATTGTGATTGTGATGTGGCGCTCAGGAGAGCCACGGTCGGGATGATAGCGAGAGCTGGGCTCTGCATTCAAATGAGAGCGGGATTGTTACTCCTGATTGGTTTTACAAAACTCTCGAGAAGTCAAATCCTGGAAACACTTTGGCTGAGAGGCTCTGTTAGGAGGGGCGGCGGGTAACTTTTGTTCTGGTTGACTCTTGCAGGTCACGCAAACACCACCACCCGCCCAACAGCCACTCGGGCCAAGTAACTCTTCCCCTGTAAGCTGTAAGCCTCAAGTTCAGCTTCAACCGCCTGTGACATCATGTCTTGTTGCTGTGGGCAACCAGACAGATGGGACGTGACTTTTTAGTTTAGGGCCCGTGCTTCAACTTTGCCTGTCTTTTCTCTGTTCCTGTCTCACATATCCGCAGTTCTTTTCTCGTTTTTCTGACTGGGAACGACATGGCGCTGAGAGAACTTCCCCGCACGGACATACAGTGGCCCAAAAAGTGTTCCAGGTTAAAAATGTTTGAATGTCACTACATTAGATGCTGTATCTTCTGATCTTTTCTTTTCACCAACATCATTTTTACTTAGTGTTTTCTCAAAATAAAATAAAATAAAAAATAATATAAAATAAATGAAATGAAATGGCATGAATATGTGTCTGTATCTGTGTGTCTTTTCTCCTTGATATCAGAATTTGACGAAACGGTTTTTTTTTTGGTGATTTTTACAATTATTAAACTCTCATGCACATTTTCTTAAAATTAGAAATTAATTAAAGCTTGAATGTCGCTACATTAGAAAACAAGTCTGTATCCGTCTCAAATGCCATAATTTTTTGTTTAGTGTCTTCTAAATAAATAAATAAAATAAAACAAAAGTAAAGTACAATAAAATAAGTATTTGAACACTTCAAGGCAAAAATGTTTGAATGTCATAAGTGTCTGTATTTGTGTGTCTCAAACACTGCAGGATCTTTTCTATTTACCAACTTCACGTTTCTTCATTATTTTCACTCAATGTATTTTGTCAAGACTGGTGTTTCAGTGATTTTCAGTAGAGTTCACACAGGCGTCCCAGCAGAGGAACCACAGGTGAAGAAAATCACATCGACTATGAACATCACACACTAACAATTCACAAGCACAGAGTGCCATAAAGCTTTTGTTGATTTATCACTGAAAACCTAATAAAAGCTATTTCTGTGTAATGTGTTTGAAAAGTGCTCTTTTTTCTTCAATCCACATGTCACTTGCTTTGATATTTTGTTATAATAACGCAATAACATTTTAAAGTTTAACTAAAGTGTCCAAATATCTTTTGGGGACATATGAAAACTCAAGTGCAATATCACTGATACTCTCATGAAACATGTCTTTGAATTAAATCACTGAATTACAATTAATAACACTTACTCAATGCACATTTTCTTAACAAAACAAACAAACAAATAAATAATTATTTTGCTATTCTCATTGCCTCTTGCTTTTATCAATGTATGTATTACACTGAATTAAAAAATTAAATAAATAAATAAAATGAATTATAATTTATTCTTTTACTATTGTTTCACTGCCTCTTGCTTTTATCTTTTACAGTTTGAATTACAATTATTAACACACTTTCTTAATGCACATTTTCCTAACAAAAACAAATAAAACAATACTAATAAAATAAATACATTTTTTCACTGTTGTTGTGTAAAAATAAAAAAATAAAATGAATTATAATTTATTCTTTTACTATTGTTTCACTGCCTCTTGCTTTTATCTTTTAGTTTGAATTACAATTATTAACACACTTTCTTAATGCACATTTTCCTAACAAAAACAAATAAAACAATACTAATAAAATAAATACATTTTTTCACTGTTGTTGTGTAGTAATTATAACAGTGAAAATGTACTTTCACTACTGTCTCACTGCCTTTTGCATTTATCTTATCCATGTTTGTATTACATTAAATTACAATTATTAATGCACTCTCAGTGCACACTTTCTTAACAATACCAAATAAAATAAAAAAACTAATAAAATAAATATTTTACTGTTGTTGTGTAAAAACAATAACATTCTTTTACTACTGCCTCACCGCCTCTTGTATCTTTTATCAGTGCTTGCATTACAATGAATTTCAACTAATGCATTTCTCAATGCACATTTTCTTAAACATAAAATAATAAACAAACAAATAAGTTCAACTGCAAATAACGAATCTTCGCTTAACGTTTACTTATGATACCCACTGCTATTTTGCACACTCGTGCAGTTTATCTCTGAGAGGACCAAAAAAAGTGCTTCCTCTGTCTTCCAAAATTTAGGGTGAACACAGTGGAAAATGTGCGAAATCAGACAAAGCGAAGTCACTGCCAAGGAGTCACGGCAGGAGAGAAGAAAAAAAACAGAAGTCACCAGCAGAGGGTGATAGCGAGTCGAGAAACGAGTTCAAGAAGGTAGAAATGAGGAAAGGTTAAGCAGAAAGAGAGGAAAATAAATAGTCAAATCCAGAGAGGCCGACCAGCAGAGGGAGGAGGTGAGAGCGGGTGAGTTAGCGGCTTCAGATGGTCACCATGTGTTGAGGAGCAGGGAGCCGGCCCGGGGCGGGTGTGCTTTACACATTAATGACTAAAGTGTACTGGGTGATGGAGGAGCGCGGTGTGGTGGCCGCACATTCGCAACGCTCAAATCAACTACACCGCCCGATCAGCTTGAGTTATCACAGGCTCGCTCCAGATGAGCCCGACACCGCATAGCAGAGAGCATCGTGGGAAATGGGGAAAGACAGGAGGGGAGGAGCGATGCATGATTTTAAACACTCAAAAGTTTGTTTTGAATACGACAGAGTACGAATCACCTGCGTCTGCTGGGGTATGTTCAGAAAGTTGTTGTCCCGTGATCCGATGCTGACAAACCTGTTGGGAGCTGTGGAGCCTGGCGTGGAGTATGCTGAGAGAGAGAAAATATAAATTAAAAACAGATTTTCATAAAAAAAGCATGTTTTATTTAATTGTATTTAACAAAAAAAATCACCCTGTACAATATTAGCAAAATCGTTTAGTCATTAAAATACATTTTAGTCAATTTGATCTATTTGAAAAGATCATTTGATTCTGCAAAGGCAAACCTTCAGATATATTGTGCGAATTTCATGAAATATATAGTGGAAACTGAAACTTTTCTGTACTGAACTGACTTGTTGGCAAACAAAAGTAATGTAAGAATTTATCATCAAAGATACACTATGCTTGATTGTTATTGGTTCAAACGGGTGAAGATCAATAGATTAAAAAGGTGTTTGAATCTGCAGGTTTGAAGTCATTATCAAATTTAGGGCAGTTTTTGTTTGGTTTCAGATTTATTTTATGGACTCCATAGTGTAACTGTTCATCAAATATGGAATTCTAACATAAATCAGTATGTGTGTAAAAACATGGAAAAATCAAACACAAAGAGCCGTATTTGTTCTACGGTTTGCTGTTAGTTTTTCATCAGCAAGCATTCAAAAAGGCACAAAGATATGAAAAGCTGCTTTGTTCATTAAATTCCATGTTAATTCATATAACTTCTTTATTAATATAGAATTTAATTATATATTATATAGAACACGTGAAATATTAATGCAACAATAAATGCAACCTGCGATTGCAGAACTAAATTCTACATTAATGCAAAAAAAGTTCTATATTAATACAAAATTGAATTCTAGATTATAAATATATAAACACTAATATATAAAGTCGTGTGATCACAGAATTGAATTTTACTATAATGAAAATAAATTCTATATAATATAGAATTTAATGATATCAATTATATAAAATGAAACACCAACATATAAACTCCTGTGATTGCAGAATTGAATTCTACATTACAAATTCTATATTAATATAGAATTGATATATAAACAGTGATCACAGAACTGAATTCTACATTAATGCAAATAAACGAGTTTCTATAAACCTTTGATTGTGGTTTGCAACCATGAAACCCCTATAGTGAACTATATTATCTGGCAGAATAAATCTGATCCTTACTTATTAATTAATTATTTACTGACCGTTTGCATCTTTTTTCATATTGTTGTTATGGCCATTATATAAAAAATAATCAGCCACAAGAGGCCATGTGTATTTTTTAATGGCTAAGGGGGCTTCAGGCCATTTGTTATGTATCTTTACCCCAAACAACCCCCGTTAACCATGGTAAACTCATAATACATGACCTCTATATGCTTAATGCTGTAACACAGGTAAAAAACAAACAAACAAAACACTATTTATTTGTGAGCAGGTGAGTTAAGTGCGTTCTGGAGAATCAGCAGCAACATATAAACACATAAAAAGACACACACAAACAACATAAAAACTATTGAAACAATGAAAGAAAACACAATGAAAAGGAACAAAAACAAAAGTAAACATGAAAGAAAAGAGGAAAGGAAATGCAAGTGCTCCGTCCAGTGCCCCGTCTGTGGTGAGTAAACATTTTACAGTACGTCTGATTATCCACCCCGATACGCCACCTCCTTTCTGAACGACCCAAATTTGGTTCATGTACTAGACGAACTGACCTTTAGACCAGCACTGGAGCTCAACTATCACATTCCACAGGCCAAAGCTAACCAGCAATGTGAACGTAACCAAAACAAACTCAAATGAAACCAACGTAAAATTACAAAGCATGGGTTTCTGAATGTTGCATTCGGGAGTGTAAAGGCAGTCAGGGCTGCAACAGCACAAACCAACCTGGACCACATTACAAGTTCAAGACGGTCTAAACTGGTCTTTTCAGTTTGCTAGATACAGACTCTTCCGTCTTGTTTTGATTTTAGCGCCAGAACTGCCGCAACAGCGAATTGTACAATAATAGCTGCATTTCGAAAACTGTTTGAACTAAAATGCATTTAAAAAGGTACTTTGGAGTCCACTTTAACTGCCCTAAATTTGCACCCTTCAACACAGAGCCCCCAAAAGGACTTGGTCATGGAAAAATATGAGATGGGAGGAAAAAATAATTTTGCGTTTGCAAAACCTTTGCGTTCTCTTGCAAAGGTATTGTGTTTTTTGAGAAACTTTGCGTTCACTTGCAAATATATTCTCTGCATTCCCCCAAGACATTTTGCATTCGCTTGCAAAACTTTTGTGTTCTCCCTAGAAATTTAGCATTTGCTCACAAAACGCATTCTTTCGCAAAAGTATTGCGCTGCACCGAGAAATTTTGAGTTCGCTTGCGAAACTTGCGTTCTCTTGCAAAAGTATTGCTTTCCCCCCCCAAAAAAAATTAAGTTAGCTTGCAAAATTTTGAGTTTGCTTGCGAAACTTGCATTCCCTTGCAAAGGTATTGTGCTCCCCGGAGAAATTTTGCATTTTCTTGCAAAAATGTTGCGTTCCCCAGGAAATTTTTGCATTCGCTCACAAAAATATTACATTCCCCCAAGAAAATCTGTTCGCTAGTAATACTTTTGCATTCTCTATTGCATTCCCCCCCCCCAAGAAATTTTGCGTTCACTCGCAAAACGTTTGCGTTCTCTCATAAAAGTGTTGCATTCCCCCCAGAAATGTTGTATTTGCTCACAGAAGCATTGAAATATAGTTTTTCCTCTCCCCTCATATTATTCCCATCATAAAAGTCTTGCAAATGAAGATTCTCAGCGGAACGAAAAGTTTTGTGAGAGAGAGCAAAAGTTTTCCAAGTGAATGCAAACTTTCTTTGGGGAACGAAAAAGATTTGTGAGCAATTGCGAAGTTTCCCAGTAGAACGAAAAAGTTTAGCAAGAACGCACAAGTATTGAAAAACAATTTTTCCTCCTACCTCATTTTTTCTCCCATCACCATGTCTCATTATGAGCTCTGCAATTTAGTGACATTTTGATGGCTGTTAAACTTCAGGATGTATAAAAAAAATCAGGATGTATAAAAAAGACCCGCAAAAATGTTGCATTGGTTTCATTCAAACTGAAAAAATAAAAGTAGTAAGGACTAGTTCTGACCCACCAGTTAGCACTACCATGATGATTATGAATAACGGGCATTTCATGTTAACTTAAGGAACACAAACTAAATGTCAAAAAGTGGTTCAGCTGTGGCTAGACGACTGGGGATCTTTGTGGGGTTTGGTGGAATGGGGGGGTCGGGTCACTTACAAGGAGATGTGGGTGAGGTGAGTCCGCCGTCAGGGGGCGTGCTGCTGGGTTTAGAGTCTGGCATTGAGAGGGGCACTGGACGCGCCACAGGGGGGGGTGGAGGCAGCAAGAAGGAGCCCGGCATTTTGCTCTGGCCGCTCCCGTTCGGCTGCAGATGACACAAACAGGGTGAGGAGTACGGACACGCCCGACACCCCACAAATGAAAAAAACAACGCAGGCTTGCTCCGAAAAAAAAAAAAGGAATGGGGGTGGCTGGTAGTGGAGAGTGTTGAGAGGGAAACAACCAAAAGGATGGTGAATGTCTGTTTGCTTTTGTTTATGAAGGGGTGTTTGTTTGTGCATCTTTGTGTGTTGACTTCACCACAGGCACAGACAGGAGCAGTGGAGGAGCAGGAAAAAACAAAATGAAGGACTTTAGGCAGAAGGTGAAGAAGAAGAAGAAGAAGAAATGGACGCATGAATGGTGAGGTGAGTTTTGGTCCATGGAATGATATCAAATCAAAACCAGGGCACAAAAAACCAAGCCACGTTCACGAGGCTGAAAAATGGCACAAGCAGAACTGAGGAGGGGATGCGCACTACACTGAAACGCAGAGAGGTCGTCAGCTGTTGCGCAGATGGGTTTTATCGTGGAAGTGGACAGAGAAGGAGAGATTAACTCAAGATCGTCTAGACAAGCACAAGATACATAACAGTGACCGATCAGTCGGCCTCAAAGACAAGGAACACACACATTTGTTTGCATTGGAAAACACAGTTTGAGGTTACTGTAATCAAGTTATCACACAAGGAGCTTGTTTCATGTTTAAAGAAGTACTAACAGAAATAAAACAGTTGATAATGTTAGTTTCCCATCGAACAAAAAATAATAATTTTATGAAATAATCCAATTTTAAAATCCAAAAATGCTGATTTTTTCCCCCCAGTGGTTAGGATTTGGGTTAAGGTATGTAGTAATTATAGATAAAATAAATGTGAATTAAATGTTATGAAATTTATGTTAAATATGACATAACCTCACTTACATATATATATGATTTATATAAAGTTAATTAGAATGACCACAGAGTAACCCAAGCCCTAAAAGAAAACATTATTTAAAGAGGTCATGAATTGAGAAATCAATTTTTACTTGAGGTTTTGATATATAAGAGGTCATCGTATTAAAAGAATATCCTGTAAGTTTCAGAACTGAAAACGTCCTTGTTACTGAAATAAAAGCTTTTATTGACACCAGGCCCAGCGAACGCCAGATCCTGGAATGTGCCTATGTATGACGTAATAAGATAGGTTTAGCACCGCCTCCACAGAAGAATATCAATGCCTAATTCTGTAGCCCCGCCCACTGATTCACGCATGACATAGTAGGGAAATAACATAAGTGCCACTTAACCGGATCGAGCAAAAAGATGCCCGGTTGTGGAAGTTTCAGCTCACGTGAGTAAAACATTGAGGGTTTGTTCGCTTTATTTCACCACGGATTCCTTTGTAAACAAGACACAGGTCGACGGTGGATTTGCAGAGAGACTGAGATTAAAAAGCAATGCTGTGCGTCTATATTGGATCCGACAGGAATGGCGCAGCACACTTATGTGAGTAAAATATGTGTCACTATTGCTTTGTTTGAGATCGCTCGATATGTCCTGATTATGTGTACGTGCATGTCTAACCAAAGTCACAGAAGGCTCTGACTACGAAGGACGTAGCTTGTCAAACAGACACACAGAAAATTAGTTTACCATGCAAAACTGTTATCCAATCATAGCAGTGGGCGTTTACTTCCAAGACTTCAACGCGGCACGCCTATAAAAACCCAGCGTTTCCTGAGCTGGCCTCAAAACCAGGGTAGAAAATAGCCTATTACTTACTGATTTTGATGTTTTTGAATGTAAAAACCACGCGAACGCCATAAGCGGACCTCAGACAACAGTATAAAATAATAATAAAAAGCCAGTTCGTGACCCCTTTAACATGTTTTTGGATGCTCGCTAACAGCAAAACTTCAATCTTAGCTTTGTTAAATGCAACAGTTGTCTTCACAATGTTAAGCTCAAGTTTAAGTTTCTTCAAATGCTTGATAATATTAGTTTTACAGAGAAAAAATACATAAAATATAAATTAATTTCATACTTGAGGCACGAGTTTTTGGTTGACTGGGGCAAATGTGTTTGCTAAATATGACATCTAAGTTTTGTTTCATCAACATTTGGTTTTAAAGGATGGATAAAATTAAATTTTCATAATTTATTTTCTTAAAACAATGGCTATGTTACAATGGCATACTGTACAGTATATACTCTGTATTTTCCAACCATTTAACAAATAGAATGTGAAACAGTATGCAGTAAGCAACGATAAATGTTTATACAGTAGAATGTGACAATGGCTACATTCTAAATGGAATACTAGTGTAAAGCTTCCTAAAGGATGAACATTGCATTGTGGGATACAGTTTTCCATGCAGTTTTCTCTGTTGCAAAGGATGCCATTCCCAGTATTCACTATAAACCAGCCAGAGAACATCTTGATAAAACATCAAACATTTTTTGCAATATGTACAGCAAAGCAAATTACATGTACAGAAGCAATTAACTGACCCCAAAGTGTCCGATCATCACTTCCCGTATGAGGTCACTTCCTCTTACCTGACCACTAGCTTGTCCCGATCCGTCGGCGCACACGAACTGCACAAACTCCTTGAGCGGGTCCTGTCCCGGGTGGTGGTGGTATCGGATGGTGGGATGGGTGAAGTATGGGCTGGACTGCTGTATGATGGAGGATGAGGGGAAGTGCAGGGAGGAAGCTGAGGCACGGGGACTTCCTGCTGACAGACACACACACACAGAGAGAGAGGTCAGTGATACATACTGTGCCAGTATAAGTGCTAGTAGTATATCAGTAATGAGCGAGACTGACACACAAGGATACAATAAATGACATGAGATGGAAGTGATGGAAATCAATTCAGGAAAACTGTGTGTGTGTGTGTCTGTTTACAAAAATTAGGGACAAAGCTGTTCCCAGAACAGAGCTAAACCTGACGAAACTTCCCTTGACAGATCCTACAGGACATCTTCATAGATAAAAATTATTCATAAATATACTGAAATCCAAAAATGCTTAAAGTTTTCTTTTAGTGGTTAGGATTTGGGTTAAGCTTTTACTATGAAGTAATTATTGTTAGCTTAATATAAAAACAATAAATGTGCAATAAATGTGAGTAAATGTGTTCATCAGTTCACAAAGTATTACAAAAAGAATATTCATAATAAAATAATAATATATTAATTTATATATAAAATATATAAATTCATAAATGCATAAAATATAGATTTATGTACAACATTTAAAATAAATATTATATATTTATCTCTTTCGGTGTTCTCTTTCATTCTCACTCTTTTAATTTCTCATAAACTCAAAATTATGCAGACAGACACAAACATGCTCTACAAGTCAAAAAGCCTCTTAATTGCCATTTCATCATGGGTGATGTAACAATTTTTAATACAAAATTCCAAGAGAGCCCCAAAACTCTTAATATGGACGACTATGCCAACTAGGTATTGACCATAAACGAGCAAGAGATTGCTTCAACTTGAACATCGGTTACAGATTTTACATCTTAGACGACAGCTTAGACGTTAATTGAACTGTAGGAAATGGTATGAAAACACAAATAAACAAATAAAACATTATCTAAAGATTTGTATCAGCACAACTCTAACGTGAACAAACTGCAGTAGTTCTTGATAAGTCATGACGTGCTCTCATTTGCATGAAGAATAACATTACGCTCATCTCCCGACCAGCGAGTGGAGGGGTGAGGGGTCTTGTCTCTTCCAGCCAAGCAGGGCCCCCAGCTGCCCGGGACAGTCTGCCAACTTCCAGAGCCTCCCTGTAACCCAGACGCGGGCGCTGCGCTCCCAGCCAAAGCACTGCTTTTCACCCTCTTTGCCACGCAGACTGCTATTCCCTCCTCTTCCACCGTTTCTTTCGCGCTTTCATCATCCACCCTTTAATCCCATTAGGGAATGGGATGGAGCCAAGGCTTCAAGGAGGAGGCAAATGGCACTGCAAACTACTGCCACCAAAGACCCGCTCCCACCAGGAGTGACTCCACAACAACAGCTCTAAACACAACCACGCTACACACAACAACACATGCCCACACAACTAGAGTGCATCGCATAACATCACCAGCAATTCATCTGAACGTATGACGCTACGCAAAAAAACAGCCAAGCCACAAACCTATCTATCTATCTATCTATGCCTCTATCTATCTATCTATCTATCTGTCTGTCTGTCTGTCTGTCTATCTGTCCGTCTATCCATCTACATATCTATCTATCTATCTATCTATCTCTGCCTCTATCTATCTATCTATCTATCTATCTATCTATCTGTCTGTCTGTCTGTCTGTCTATCTATCTATCTGTCTGACAAGAAATAATGAATAATGGGTAAATTAGTGTGTATTCATCTACAAAACCTACTACAAAAAAACTTCTACAAGAGCCACTGATTTGATGACAAGATTTTGTTGCGGTGTCTAATTTCAGCACATTTACAATTTTTCCTTCTCTTTCATCTTGTTTAATCAATAATAGATGATAAAATACTTCAGAACATCTTTGAAAATGCAGTTTTCCAATTCTGTGAGTCTTGCATTAAAGGAGAGTGGATATGTGCTTTGATCATTGCTGTATAGCATTTAAAATAACATCTTACAAGCTCAGGTGCATCTAGGCAGTGAAACGACGCCTCTAGAGGGGGGAGAATGAAATTCGGAAATGGAGAGACCAATCACCAACCAATCACATTGACAGACAGACAGACAAAAAAGACAAATCAGCCTCGGTACAGAGGAGAAAGAGGGTGGGGGGGTGGGGGACAAATGGCGAAAGCCTTCACCCGACCCAACTGTGGTGTAAACACGACCTCGCCTCTCCCCGAACGTCACCACATCCGACCCCACCAGGGGGCGTGAGGGAGCAGGACAGGAAGGGCAAGGATGTGGGAGGTGGGGTGGGGGGGCTCTGAACTCTCACCTGGTCTTACACCTGCCAGCATGGGCAGCGGGTGATGGCTGAACGGCATGCGTGCAGACCTCGTATGGCCGGACAGAGCGCTGAAATCGAATTTCCCCGACTTCTTAAGAGAACCAGGCGACGAGAGTCCTGGTAAAAATGGGATCAACAAAATGGCAGAACAGAGATGTGGATTTAATCAAACAGGGTGTCTGACAAGAAATAATGAATAATGGGTAAATTAGTGTGTATTCATCTACAAAACCTACTACAAAAAAACTTCTACAAGAGCCACTGATTTGATGACAAGATTTTGTTGCGGTGTCTAATTTCAGCACATTTACAATTTTTCCTTCTCTTTCATCTTGTTTAATCAATAATAGATGATAAAATACTTCAGAACATCTTTGAAAATGCAGTTTTCCAATTCTGTGAGTCTTGCATTAAAGGAGAGTGGATATGTGCTTTGATCATTGCTGTATAGCATTTAAAATAACATCTTACAAGCTCAGGTGCATCTAGGCAGTGAAACGACGCCTCTAGAGGGGGGAGAATGAAATTCGGAAATGGAGAGACCAATCACCAACCAATCACATTGACAGACAGACAGACAAAAAAGACAAATCAGCCTCAGTACAGAGGAGAAAGAGGGTGAGGGGTGGGGGGGGTCGAATGGCGAATGCCTTCACCCGACCCGACCGTGGCGTAAACACGACCTTGCCTCTCCCCGAACGTCACCACATCCGAACCCACCAGGGGGTGTGAGGGAGCAGAACAGGAAGGGGAAGGATGTGGGAGGTGGGGTGGGGGGGCTCTGAGCTCTCACCTGGTCTTACACCTGCCAGCATGGGCAGCGGGTGATGGGTGAACGGCATGCGTGCAGACCTCGTATGGCCGGACAGAGCGCTGAAATCGAATTTCCCCGACTTCTTAAGAGAACCAGGCGACGAGAGTCCTGGTAAAAATGGGATCAACAAAATGGCAGAACAGAGATGTGGATTTAATCAAACAGGGTTTTTGCTTCTTGAGCTTCATCTAAAAAAAAAAGATCTTATCCATCTCAGCTTCTAAAATTCTACAAATTTGCTGATAATAATACAAAAAAAATTATCTTTTAATCTACAGGTAATGTTAGGGCTTTTTTGTTTCCTGTGAAATATAGAGAAGCCAGTCACAGTGCAAAAAAAATTATTAATCAGTAATTTTTCCTTATTTTCCAGTAAAAACACATTTAACAATAAGTATTTGCCAATGAGGTAGAAAAATAAACTTAAATAAAAAAGAAAATAAATGCATTTTTCTTACCCCACTGTCAAAAATATATATTAAGCATAAACTTCACTAAATGTAAATAAGATTTTTCTTATTTTGATTCAAGTAAATGCATCTTGTTTTAAGGATGTTAATATAATTATACTGGAAAACAAGGTGAAACACTGCTTAAGGACTGTGTTTTTGCAGCGCCGACGGGTCCAGGGTGCGAGCTTTGCTTTGAAGCAGTGGAGTGCAGGAAAGAGTGGGACAGGGGTCGGGACAGGGCCGGGAAGGGCCTCTATGCAGCTGTAAGTGGGAAAATAGATGCCACGACAGCAGATCCCATAGTAACTCATGTCTGTCAGTCTGTCTGTCTGTCTCTTTCAAAACACCAAATCTCAAAGGAAAGAGTACAGTGTCAAAGCATGAAAGTCACTTGCATCACAAACAGCATTTGCCACTATTTCTCACAGTTGTTACAGTGACGTTGTCAATTTTCTAGGATATATATATAAAAAAAAAGAACAACTAGTGATATATCAATGCATACACTACAGTTCAAAAGTTTGGGGTCAGTACTGTAAAAACAGTAATATTGTGAAATTTAAAAATAACTTTTCTATTAAAATATATATTCAAATGCAATTTAATCCTGTGATGGAAAGCTGAATTTTCAGCATCATTATTCCAGTATTACATTACACTTTAGAAATTGTTCTAACACGCCGATTTGCTGCTAGATAAACATTTCTGATTATTATCAATGTTAAAAACAGATGTGCTGCTTCATATTTTTGTGGAAAGAAAATAGAAAGTTTAAAAGAACATCATTTATTTGAGATATATATATAATATATATATATATATATTTACATTATAAATGTCTTTCCTGTCACTTTTGAGTAATTTAATGCATTGGTGCTAATTTAAAGTATAAATTTCTTTCAAAAAAATAAAAAATCTTACTGATTCCAAACCTTTGAACGATAGTATACATTAAGTGCTTTATGTATTAATTGACTAATGTCTTATTTTAGTGCTCACTTCCCTTGTTTTCCTCTAAATACTGTATACAATGTTTTATAATGTTAATGATGTTAACATTTTGTGTATATCCCACTTAATTTAACAAAAAAACTATCATTTCATATACAAATACCAGTATTATTTCATTCATCTGCCACCCTGTTCACTAGATATGAACATCGGCTATTAAAAACCCTACTGGTCCTCCACTACTTCTTAAAAAAAAAAGTGCAAAAGTATTTAAAAAAAAAAAGATCAAACCTCTTTAAATCCACAACAAAATAGTTTTGCCATTAGTTAAGAGGTGCAAAAAAAAAAAAAGATCACAATTTGCAATTTACACAACAGTAAGAAACACGTTCAGCCATATAAAACAAAGCAAAAACCCCATCATTTCCAGATGATTTTGCTTACATTAGTTTGAAACGATGGGTTGATCGGCACTACACCTCAAGTTTCTACTGGTCAGCAAAGTTAAGCAGTTTACAGATCACATGCTAATAAGCAAACAATAAAAAAACGTACTATACAAACACTTGAGAGCGTCGTAATGCAAAACAAACTAAATAAAGTCTGCTAAAACCGAACATCACAGAGTAAACATATTTAGTTTAATAGCTTGTCTATTTTATGTGAATGTGTGTTCAGATTGACTCCAGAATTTCAATATACCCAAGAAACCGCATTAGTAATGCCAAACAAACAGGACGACACGTCTTCACAAACCAAATGCAAATGAGTAAATAAACGTAAATGCTAGCTGTGTACAGACTCTGACATACACAGACACTCTTAAACTTCACCTGGGAAACCAAATCAGAGGCTTTCACTTGACTTTTCAGCGCTGAGGGAAAAAGTCAAACACAAGCGCTTCTGTTCCAGTGGCAGGTCCGAACGCTCACGCCAAAAACAGGAGGACAGGCGGGAAGCGTGATGTGAGAATGATGAGAGAAATGAAAGGTCTTCTCATATATAACGCCGCATTAATGTGTCGTCCTGATCCTATAAATGTCAAACTGAGGCCGCAGGGCTGCTAGCTTCAGCTGTCCTGAGTTTGGCATAAAGACGAGGGCTGAATATACGCCGGGCTCACCCAGTGACCCAGAAACACGGCCAAACATGTCAGGACTCGGGAATGAAGGGAAAAGGGGTTTACCATCAAATCCTGTGGCTGGTTTTGGGGGAAACAATTATCCTAAGTGGTGATTTAAAAACCCAATTTAAGATGTTAAAGAGCATTGTGTGAGGAAGCCACAAATCTGCTAATTATGCTAATGTCACGTTTGAACAAATATCTGCCTCCCTGAAACAGTTAATATATATATATATATAGAGAGAGAGAGAGAGAGAGAGAGAGAGAGAATTTTTTTGACAAATGAATTGCAAATTATAGATAAATGGATAAAAAAAACATTTTGTGGTGTTTCTTTCGTAGTGCATTTTAAAAAGCAAAGATTGGCAAATTTAAAAGCAACACTGTCTACTGAAAAAAATAGTGTTGTGCAATCCAACAAAGTTGATATTGACACAAGGACACTGAGCATTAGTTTTGTTTTAAATAAACAAACCGCAAGATAAATCATTACTATGGTATCTATGTAGAGTTATTGTGGGAGAGTTAAACAAACGGTTCAAGTGGTTTCTTGTAAAGACGACAAAATTTAAATGTGTACAGTAACAAACAAAAAGGGCTAAACGTTTTAATATAAATTTTAATATAATAATTTATGTATGTTATATATATATATATATATACACACACAAAAAAATGTGTATTACTATTATTAATAATATTCTTAATATTATAAGATAAGTGAGGTTGTGGCTACATCAAAACATATGCATCTCTGCAAAGTGCTGAAAATCACCACCAAACACACACCTTCGGAGTTGCAGCTGACAGTTTCCATGACTTTGCATGCACATTAGCCTGTGTGTGTGTGTGTGTGTGGTAAAATCATGGGTTATGTGTTATTTCTCTGTGTCCTGAAGCTCAGGCAGACTGGCAGCCAATCAAACGCTCCTGTGACCTTCCAGTCTCGCCACGCTAACAAGCTGGCCGCCAAACAAACCTTGACCTGTCAAAAAAACACCATACAGTATATAACACCTCCTCACACTACACACACTCTCTTGAACAGACACACATTCACTGTCCAACCATCAGAAAGTCCCACCTCTACAAGACACACAGAAAGCCACAAATCCAAGTACAAATCACTTCTGCCATGAAATTACAGTAATAATACACTCGAGTTCCCAAGCCTTTCTCCTTGTGAACTTTTTCACTTGATTGATGCCAATTAAACTGATTTTAATACGCATTTAATCATTGTATATTCACTACGAAAATCATGGCTTTTTTCAGGTGATTGATTTTTGAAAATATTTTTACATTCATTTTACACTAAAAAAAGACTAATAAATAAGTTAAAGCCTTTTCAGTTGACTGACTGTTAAAAAATACTTTTCATTAATTTTACTCTAAAAAATAAATTACTTGCCAATGAAATATTTTCGAGCATTTAAAAAAAAAAGATATATTCAAAAATACACATTTCTATGACTGCTGTGGTCAATCAATTTTCCCAAAATAATTTCACAGTCTTTTTACATTCAAAAAGTCCAATTCCTTGCCAATTATGTTATAATTAAATGGAAAATTTCATTACTTTAATCAATCTTTTTTTAAAAATTATAATTTCAGTCATTTTGCACTCAAAAAGACTAACTGCTTGCCTATATATATATATATATATATATATAGTTTTTAAACAAGTTATAATTACAATGGAAACTTTCATTACTTTAATCAATCAATTTTTTTATTAATTTCAGTCATTTTTCATGGTTTTCCATGCCTGTGGGAACCCCGTTCACTGTCTGACCCTCTCAACGTCAACAAAACTGTCACAAACAGATGTTTACAGACAAAGCGCCACAGTCTAACAAGGTGAAAGAGAGTGCAGGAGAATGAAAGATAGGAGGGGATGATATTTGTGTCGGCCCAGGGCGAGAGAAAGCGATCGGGGCGTATGAATGAAAGGTGAGTGGGTTCACAGTCTGCTGGTATACGCCGGGCGACACCAGATTTAATGATAAATGACACCGTCACCTTGCAGCGTTGTCAGAGCCTCATTCAGGTAGTGAATCACCTTTGGAGCGTAGCGCGGTTCACACTCACACACGCGCTCGGAGCGCCACCACCGCCTTCATCGGCGTAACAGATGTCTTCTGTAACCCAGTAGCTCCCAATGCTGTCGACACATGGAGGAGCCATCTGGAGCAGAGCTCTGGTGCTCCACAGACTGTGTGTGTGTGTTTCAAATGTTCAGGGGTGGGGTGGGTGTAAATATGTGTGTGTGTTTGTTGTGTATTCCCATGACATCAGGAGCACCTGAGCATGCTGGCGTTTTTTTGGTGGGATTTACCCATGTTTCCCTAGATTAAGAACTGTGCGACTGTGTGTTGATCATGACGTGGGCGGCAGTGAATGTGATTAGATGTAGGTGACCCCTCGGGCCTGAAACGTACCCTATGCAAGTACACAAGTTGTCGTTGTACACACACAGCATGCATGCTTACATTACTGTCGCTATTCCTGCATAATCTATTTTTGCGTACTCGAGGGGGTGAGTTTGAGTTACCTTCAAATGTCTGTGCCATTAAAGTCAATGTGAAACGCCCGGTCTGATGGATTTCAGAGCGAAAGAGGATATGCAGCGAGATAACAAAACGTAAGCAGGTCTTTATTCATTTACCAGTGGTAAATAATTGGATAGTGAAACATTGTCTTGTCTCTGCATGACAATAATAATAATAATAATAATAATAATAATAATAAATGCATAAAATATAAATATCATATAATGATCATTTTAAAATATAAAATTAATGTATATAAAATATACAATAAATATATGATAGTAATATAATATGACAATTATACTAATAATAATAATATAGAATATATTGTAGAATATAATAAAAAATAAATTAAATATACATATTTTATACTACTAACAACAACAACAACAAATAATAAATGCATAAATATAATAAATAATAAATGCATACATTACATTAATATAATATATTTATATTATATATTTTATGTAATATGTATATTCTAAATATATTATATTACAGAATATATATATATGCTTAATTATATTGTTATATTACATAATATATTATAAATATAAATATTTTTATAAAATAATGTAATAATATATAAATAATGTATGTTTATAATGTATAATAATTATAAGTAATATATAACAAGATATTAATAGTAAGTAATAGTAATAATATATAGTAATAATAAAATAATGTTTAAATAATATTATAAAATTAATGCATACAAAATATACAGTCCATATTATATTAAAATATATATACATAATACTTCATTTTATTACTCCTTTATTTCTTAGGAATACTGTGCACTGACAAATTTTGTACAAAAAGACTAGGAAAGTCTATTAGGAAAGTAAATTTAAAAAAAAAAGATCATGTCAACAGTTAAACTAACTTGCTTGCTTCTCTTAAACCGTTGCGCTGGCCTGACAATAGCTGAGCTAAAAAAGAAAACTGACTGTAAGAGATGTATCTGCGGTGTCATGCTATGAATTGCGTTCTAACAATTTGTGGAACACAATGAGGCGTGAAATTGAGCTTGTGTTTGCATTTGCATCCTTGCATTGAGTTTATTTCAGACGTTGCAGCATATACTGGTTTGAAATCTCTCAGGCGTGCTAAATAAACAGCTGAGATATTGCTTATAGCATGTAAAGCCCTTTATGCACACACTAATTACAATAAATCCTGCATGAAGAAGAAACCAACAAAAACACTGAGTAAATATATGGAAAGGCCCGCTGCTGTACGCAACACAATAGCCATGTCTGTAAGTGTTTATGTTTTGGGAATGCTGTGGAAATCAGGATTTGGACTTCTGCTTCGGTCCACAGGGATCCTATATCAGAATCTAACACAAACAATGGATGTACGGAGAGACTTCTGACACACAAAACAAAATGAAAGCACATTCACAGGCCTCAAAACACCCGCCACCTCCGAGCACCGGAAAAAACAGCAAATCAGAGAGAAGAGCTGAGATGTGTGATGCAGCAGAGAGACAGAGATAAGAGACACATTTCAATACACTTGTGTGCATTATAATATGAGGGTAATGTGGTCTAACCATGGTAAGGAAACTGCACGCCATCGGTTTCGTGTTTTATCTTCCTCTCCTGCATACTGGCCAAATGGTGTTGCACTGAAAAACCCAAACAGGGGAAAAGAATTAACAATGACAAAAGAGGGGGAGAGATTGAGGTAAATTGGAGAGATGGGGAAATTTGGGATGATTGTTAAATCATTATCAATACATAATCACTATTTACACTTAAGAAAACATCATATGAATGAGGTCAAATACAGTATTGCTCACTATCTCCCAGAATCAACCCATACTAAGTGCACCAAAACAGTAGAGGTGAATGACACACACATCCCACAAACCATCCAATCAGCAGCTAAACTATGAGGGCTGGGGCAGAATATCAAATGAGCATAGGCTGCGTCACAATTCACATACTATCCATACTAAGTACTATGCAATAAAAAAATGAGTGTGTCACAACTGGCATACCATCCATATTAAGTAGTATGTAAGTGAAAAATGAGTGTCAATTCAATACTATCCATACTAAGTACTATGCAAGCGAAAAACAAGTGTTAAAATTCACATACTATGCATACTTAGTGTGCAAGCTAAAAATTGGTGTCAATCTGCATACTAAGTAGTATACAAGTGAAAATTATTGTCAATTCACATACTACCCATACTAAGTAGTATGCAAGACAAAATGAGTGTCAATTTGCATACTAAGTAGCATGTAAGCTAAACAAATTTGTCAATTTACATTCGTATTAAGTAGTATGCAAGATAATGAGTGTCACAATTCACACACTATCCATACTAAGCAGTATGCAAGCTAACAAGCGTCACAATTTGTATACCATCCATATTAACTAATATGCAAGCTAAAAATGAGTGTCAATACGCATACTATCTATATTAAGTAGTATGCAAGCTAAAAAGGAGTGTCAATATGCATACTATTTATATTAAGTAGTATGCAGGCTAAAAAGGAGTGTGACAATTTACATACTATTAATTTTAAATAGTATGCACTCTAAAAGCGAATTTCAATTTGCATACTAGATGGTATATATCAAGTGAATTTATGAAGTATGCATTTGTAAAAGATAAGTATGCATTTGTGAAGATTTCTCCGATAATTTTGTCCACAACAAGTATGCAAAATGGGGTGCAGCCAATGCATTTTGGGTATCAAATCTAATGCGTCAGAGTTTTGATTTTGTGGTGTGAGCACAGGAAAATGTTAAACTATTTGCTGCTTTTGATTTATTGAGGGAATGGTGCATTTAAGTGTCTGGTGTGAGGATACAGTTACATGTGACAGCAGCACTGCTCAATGAATTTCATCACCACATTCTGCCCATGCAACAAAACAATAAAGCTGCCTTTTCACACTTACAAAAAAAAAAAAGATACCATAGTAACCATAGTTTCCACACACACAAAAAAACCCACTACAGTCATGAGGTAAATTTGGATTTTCCATCACTGTCATCAAAAAAGCTTCTTGCATCAATTGAATTAAGTCCAATCCCATGATATTTTGGCAGACAATATGGTTACCATAGTAAATTTTTCTTATGGACAGTCAAAACAAGGAAAAAAAAAACAACAACAAAAGAAATCAGTACAGAATAATACAAATAAAGGTATTGATTATTAAAAAGCAGCACTATAAAGAGGAAAGGAGATGATTTAAGGTAGAACTACTCAAAAAGTATGTTGATATGGTAAAACGGTCTAGTTTATATGGTAAAATGCAATAAAAAAAAAACTAAATCTGACAAAATGTGTCGAAATTTTACAAAGAATTAAATTTTCTTCTCTTTCATCTCTGTTTTGAGTTGATAAACTCTTCAATAGCCATAAATATCAGTACAATCTACACAAGAAATGAAGGAAATGCCTAATCAAACTTGTATTCTTTAGTGCTTACGGCCTTTTATAAATAACATTTCAGTATAAACTATAAAACATTACATATAAAATAGTTCTTTAGCCCTAATTCTGTGAAGATCATCACATGCACGCATGAATTAAGAGTGATTTTAAGTGCTTTTAAGATTTTTAGTCAGCTGAGCCCCAAACAAGCCCAACTAACAGATCAATTAACATGCACATGATTCTAGCTATCCAATCGCAAGACTATTCAATGTTTGTCCCCGTCTTATTTATTCTTGCAGTCTACTGAGGTTTGAGAAGATGGTGGGCAAGCACAGAAGAGAAGAAAGAGAAAGAGGGAGCAAAAGAGAGAGATTAATGGGTTGATGGATAAAATGAAGGAAAAGTCTGGCCCTTCACACAGCCCTTGTGTCCACTTATTCAGTGCATAAACGACTCAAACATGAGTCCCAATTGGATCTGATTATAGGTTCAGAGGTTAGTCAGAGCAGACGACATATTTCATTTGACAAAAACAAAAAACAAGCCTTTGAGGGACAATCATGCAGCATGTTTAACATTAAACGTCTATCCCTCAAAGTCTCTTTGTCAACACAAGTATGGCGCTAACTCTGACTACTCTATGTAGATTTTGATTGGTGCAGCACAATATAAACAAATATTTTTTTCAACAGCAGTGGTCTAGATGAGTGGAGGTCAAGCAGAGTGTGTGAAGAGCCAGAGGGCTGCTGGGTAAAGCGGCTGTACCTGCATCAACATCATTGGGCCAGCCGCTGGGCTGGGACGCTCCCGGGGCAGGAGAACGGCCCGAATAGAAGACATCGTCCACCGGGCTCTCCATCTCACTGTCATCAATGGATTTACGCTTGTTGGAGCTGAAAGGGAAAAGAAGAGAGAAGGTTAGGGGGGATTTTACTTAATGTGACAGCTAGAAGGTTTGCATGTTGTGTACTGAGAAACAGCTGAAAATTCCCAAATAGTAATGATGCAATATCATTTACATAAATATTAGTTATATTAAAAGATTTTTTAATTTGCATTTAAAGATTTGAACTTTTCTTGACTGATTTTCTTGACCTCAAAATGGGAATGTTTCAAAGGAACAGTTCACCCAAACATTTTCTGAATATTTTCTCAGCCTCAGGCCATCCAGGATGTAGATGAGTTTGTTTTTTCATCAGAACAGATTTGGAGAAATGTAGCATTACATCACTTGCTCACCAGTGGATCCTCTGCAGTGAATGGGTGCCGTCAGAATGAGAGTCCAAACAGCTGATAAAAACATCACAGTTATCCACAAGTAATCCACATGACTCCAGTCCATCAGTTAACATCTTGTGAAGTGAGAAGCTGCGTGTTTGTAAGAAACAAATCCATCAGTCACTTCTGACCAAAATATCAGTCCATAATCCATAATAACACTTCCTCCAGTCAAAAAGTCCATCTCCTGTTGTCCTCTCACATCAAAATCCACTGATATATTGGTGTAAAACTGGTTTGGACTGTTTTTGCTTGTAAACGGTGCTTGATCTGTGCATATCTCTCTTCTGATTCAGACAATACGACTCTTTCCCTTGAGAAAGCAATATATTATGGATAGAGCACTTGTATTTTACCAGGAAACAATGGTTTAAAGCTAAAAATGTCTTGATGGATTTGTTTCTTACAAACATGCAGCGTTTCTCTTCACAAGATGTTAACTGATGGACTGGAGTGGTGTGGATTATTGTGATGTTTTTATCAGCTGTTTGGACTCTCATTCTGACGGCACCCATTCACTGCAGAGGATCCATTGGTGAGCAAAGTGATGTAATGCTCAAGTTCTCCAAATCTGTTCCAATAAACCAACTCATCTACATCTTGGATGGCCTGAGTACATTTTCAGCAAATTTTCATTTTTGTCTAAATTATTCCTTTAAATACATATAATAATTATTACTTTATAAAGCATTACAATAGAAATTTGCTTTAAAACAGTCAACTCAAAATCATCATTGTTTCAAGAGCACATGTTATCTTAGCAGAATGAGACATTAGATGAGCAAAGACAGCAGAGTAAGACAGCAGAGCTTGAAGTGAATCAGACTACAGGAAGTGTGGAGTACCTCCGCGGGAGACTGGCATAAAACTCCATCTCAGTCCTGCAGCGTTAGAAACATGACGACAAGGCGAGAGAGAGAGAGAGAGAAGGGACAGGAGGAGAGAGGTAAAGAGACAAAAAGGACAGCAATCAAACAGGTGAGAGGCAGAGAAAAGGGCAGGAAAAAGATAGACAGAAATATATACAAAGAGGAAAGCAAAAGGGTAGGATAAAAGATAGACAGAAATATATACAGACAAAGAGGAAGGCAAGAACATGTGAGTGCTACCAACATGCATTAAACTACTAAACTAGAGACTAGATTGATTTGTAAAGCTGTTTAAGACATGCAAGAGCTTATTAGTATTGAAAAATCTAATTATGCATATGCAAATGTATTAAATACATTTTATTATTAATATCATTCTATTTAGTAATTGAAATACATTTTACATAAAAGACAGTGCAATTTAAATGTTTTGGAAAAAATGATAAATCTTTCATAAAATGAAAAAAAAAAGAAAAGAAAAAGAAATGCCCCTGAAAATGAACTGTAGGAAACAACCAATCTGGGGATGGAAAAGATTGCTATTGGGTCCATAGAAAAATTGTGAAAAAATGTGAAATAAAATTAAATAAAATTAAATAAAAGAAAATAAAAAAGTAGTACATATTTTGACATTATTATTGTTTCATTTTGCTTTCTAAAGAATGATAAGAAATCATGAAATTTACCAGAATTATATGTCAATAATATTTTATTATTTTATATTTATATTTTAGAAAAAAGCCCACTTTCATTTGCATCAAAAATGTAAAAAAAAATCCTGGCATAGAATGAAAGGAAAGTGAGCTGTGTGTGTGTGTGTACCTGGTCGATGGCGTGGACGTAATGGAACGGCGACCCAGGTTGATGTTGTAATATCCTGGACTGTCAAGGTCGGCCAGAGAGAAGTTGGGTCCGGTTGCTGTGGCAACTGGTGCTGAATTAGATGCAGACAGAGAGAAGTCAGATTAATCAATCCCATCATCCATCTTTGTTCTCATGTCAACATAATACAACTTTTCTTCATGTCAGATTTAAGCATAATAGAAATCATTGAAGGTTCTCCAATAACACAAGTTCATAAAAGTCTTTTTAATTATTATTCTCTTACTTTAAAAAATATATATATATTTTTTTATTTTTGGAAGAAAAGAAGTGTGTTTTATATATAAAGTAGTAATACCTTTATTCAGCAAGGATGCATTGAATTGATCAAAAGTGACAGCAAAGACATTTATAATGTTACAAAGGATTTTTATTTCAAATAAATGCTGTTCTAACTTTCTATTCATCAAAGAATCCTGAAACAAAATGTATAATGGTTTCCACAACAATATGAAGCAATCAACATTGATAACAATCAGAAATGTTTCTTGAGCAGCAAATCAGCATATTATAGAATGATTTCTGAAGGATCATGTGACACTGAAGACTGGAGTAATGATGCTGAAAATTCAGCAATATTTATATATATATATATAGTTTTATTTCTAGGTTTTTTGGGCTTTTTATTTGTATTACCGTTATAATTTTTAGGATTTATAATAATAATAAAAGCCTTTTTAGTTCAAAAAAATGTTTGATCTTTTCGGCTGTTGATCAGAAAGATGCTGCTCATGTGACTTACTCTGTGTCACACGGACCAACTCCGCCACGTTCCATACACCTGACGTCACAAAGCAGTCCTGGAAACTCAAGTGCCCTGGAGAGGAAAAAAAGAGAGGCCAGAAATGAAAACACACTACACCGACAAATTATACTGGAAAAAAAAAATCCCCATATTTACTCATCTGCACCTGTCAAACACACGCACACACAAAATAAACTGGGCTCAATTGTCATAAAAGGGCCGGGAGCATATAATTACAGTCATCGGTTGGCATATGTTCTCCGTCTCGAAGGAATAACAGGCTACCCCATACTTATGGTTAACTCCAACCCAGCACTCCAATCCCAGCTAAAACTTAATGAGGACACTAAAAATGCTTTATGTCATACTTAAGTGTGTGTGTGACGCTGCATACAAATATACAAACATATTTGCTTTCGCTGTGCATATGGGCTTTCAATATGTACTTTTGTGTGTGGGGGCAAAAAGGGTGAATGAGCCATGCTTCCACACCCATGTGTAGTGCTGGCTGAGGTCAGCATGTGTGTGTGTATGTGTGCTGGTTAACCGCAGCGAGGCCGGCGCATGAGCTCAGTGTCACCAGCGCCGCAGCCATGTGGTTCCCATCAGCCAATCACGGAGTGATTTACGAGCGTTTCGCCATTCTCCGTGACAGCTAGCCTAGCAACACTTTACTATAATAAACTTCGATGGAAATCGCTTTCACGCACGCTCCGTGTTTGTGTGAGAGTCGGGCGTGCATGTGACCTTATTATCATAAATAAAATGGCTTACGGTGTCAATCGGGCTGCATTTGTGCATATGGAGGTCCAAGGAGAGCGCTGCTCACCCACATATCCATCTGCTGACTGGCAGGCGGAGTGGAAAATGGTGGCTGATGGGTTGATTGTGTAGCGCTGGGATTTCATCACGCCGTTTCCACCACTGCTAACCAGAGCTTACTTGCTCGCGGCCTTTAATGACAACTTCAGATGCAATTCTATTGAGTTTAGAGGATTTAAGTGGACTGCTTCTTAAACAATAAGGGTGCTTCAATAGTTTTTGCAGAATTTAAGGTTCAGCAAAGAAAGAAGCTTGTAGAAGAAGCTTGTAGAAAGTACGAATAATGACTTTGCAGTGCAGAAGAACCATTTTTAGTTCTACAGTTCAGTGAACAGTTCTTAAAAGAACCATTTTTTTAGTGTGAAGAACATCACCTAAAGAACCTTTTTCCACTATAAAAACTCCAGTTTTTTCCAGGAACACTTTTGTGCAATGGAAAGGCTCTTCATGGAATCATAATGGCAATAAAGAACATATCCAAAACAGAAAGTTCCAAAAGAGGGTTCCAAAAGTTCACTTTAGTGGCCCTAATACCTGTGTACTTACATAGTAACTAGATGTGTACGTAGTATGTAACCACAGTGTAAGTACACATTGGTACACACTGTGGTTAATCCCCAACCGCTTGATTGGCTCTATGACTCTCTCTCCTCTCCACCTGTAGCTGGTGTGTGGTGAGCGCACTGGCCCCATTGTCCTGTCGCTGCCGTCGCATCATCCAAGTGGATGCTGCACACTGGTGGTGGTTGAGGAGAGACCCCACCACATGATTGTAAAAGCACTTTGGGTGTACAACAATTCACAATAAAAGCGCTATATAAATGCATCATTCATTCATTCATTCATAGTATCTAGAGCTGTAATATTTCTGTAACTACACACATGTAACAACCCTACGAATGGTTTGTGTAAGTACAAATGCGTAACAGGACATATATAACTACTTTTTTTAACAACAATATGTATAAGAGTAATTGGAACAATTTGATCCAGGGGGTGGAGATGGGTAGGTTTAGGCTGGAAATGGGATCCAGGGGGTGGAGATGGGTAGGTTTAGGGATATGTAAAGTGGGAGGAGTTGGA